AATATCGAATGATATTGAAGCAATCAACATTTTATCTAAAGTCTGTCATATACTATAGTGATTATAACAGTACAAAAGAATATGAGAATTATCATTGTTCTAAAATAACACATTGTCTATTAAGTATGTCAATAAAAGTGTTTAATCAAAATGAGCTATAATGGAATTTTCTTATAGGATAGTTGCTATGACTAGTTCTATTTACAACTAAAATTATAGAATAATTTCAGTTTACCTAGATTTTTTAACTGATTTAACAGCATTAATCGACCTTTGTATTCATTAAAAAAAAGAAAAAAGAAAAAGAAACTCATCACAGTGCCAAATACCAATTGATTTTTCAATCATGTGTTCTTCAATCATTTTAATAAGTTTCCTGTGATTTATTGATTTATTGATTTTTAATTACACATTATTGTTTATTCAATGAAATAATGTAAAGTAAATTGATGAAATAGAATAAATTTATTGTTATATCTTTTATTCAATTTGTTCATTGAGAATATTAATTCTGTATTGAGAATTTACTTCTTTCTATATCCATTAATTCTTCCACGGTGTGGGCAGCCGGGATGTGATATCAGCCCTCATACTCGTAACAGCACACGAGACCAAGTCGGTCACATTCAAATCTTTCCTACACCTTCTAATACCACTCTTATCTCCCCGACTAACCCTTCTCACGTCCTTTTATCACATCGCACCGCTAGGGTAAACGATTTGAGTACTCGGAACGTTATACCTGGTCTCCTGAAACCACGCTCGAAAACTTCATGTTGGAGCTTATAACGTCCGAAAGTTGTGCCAAATAGGACAACAAGCTTCCTTAGCTAGGACTTTAGAATCTCGCTCCATCGATGTGTGCTACGTCTCCGAAACGTGCAAACAGGATCCGAGTAGAGTCATTCATTTGACATCATCATGACTGACTGACTGACTGACTGATATCCATTAATTATTATGCTTAATTAACATTGATCACCAAAATTATTGATTTCAGTCTTCAATCTGTTCATTTTTTAAGTTTAATAATATGAATGATCTGCATTTAACTAATATACTTATTAAGTATACTAATATTTATTATCTCATAGCACTGATTAGTACGTCTAGACGACTTTAAACAGTAAATAGACAACAACAACAAAACAAGAAGATTGATACGGTATGCATGACGGTTAGCCTAATACTAAATAACCCTGAACAAAAAAAGGAAGAATACAAGACTGAGGATTACCAGCCAAAACTCGTTATTATATTTCAGATACACATAGTTTATATTATTATTATTATTATTATTATTATTATTATTATTATTATTATTATTAGTATTATTATTATTATTATTATTATTATTATTATTATTATTATTATTATTATTAATGGCTTTATTCAATACTGTTCAATATTACTCAATATAGAATTTTTAGCACAAGGTATTTCAACAAGTTTCTTTTATAAAAAAAAGCAACAACAACAACAAAAAGGAAGGAAAAAGTTGGAAAAAAAATCTGAAACTATACAACTTTTCAAATTAGAGACATATTTAAGAATACAGGTTATTGACCAGGTTAACTCTAACAACCTGTTCGTCACAGAGTATATTTGCTAGGTAAGGTATTATATAAGTTTTATAATTTTGCTTGCATGCATGGATTTTAATGTAATTACGTCTCTTTCTACCAGATATACAAACAGATCGGACCATATCATACCATAAAATAAGAAATAATGACAAAATTATAATTTATGGAAGAATCACTCAGATTTACGATAACAGATCTTGAATTTTGGCTTTATAGCTGATGTCAGCTCGTAATGAAAACCTTAAATCTAATTCTTAACCTTAACTATCAACTGTAAATCATAATGCTTATTACTCACACTGGTTTCTAATCATCATTTAATCCTAGTTAGTATGTGGACGTACTGAAGATCACTTTAGCGTCACTAAAAGGTCAACCATAAAATATAGTGTCACCGAAATAATAATTATATATGATCAAGACAAAAAAATGGTTGAGAGTAGCGGATATTAATAGATTGAGAATAAATGAAGACAGGTTAGTCGTATAACAATGGTCAACTTACTTACTTTACTTTCGCCTGTTACTCCCAATGGAGCATAGGCCGCCGACCAGCATTCTCGAACCCACTCTGTCCTGGGCCTCCTTTTCTAATTCCGTCCAATTCTTGTTCATCTTTTTCATGTCTATTTCCATTTCTCGGCGTAATGTGTTCTTTGGTTTTCTTCTTTTCCTTTGGCCTTGAGGATTCTATGAGAGGGCTTGTCTTGTGACGCAGTTGGGTGCTTTCCTCAATGTGTGTCCTATCCACTTCCAGCGCTTCTTTCTGATTTCTTCCTCCGCTGGGATCTGGTTTGTTCTCTCCCACAGTACGTTGTTGCTAATAGTGTCCGGCCAACGGATCTGAAGTATTTTGCGTAGACAACTGTTAATAAACACCTGTATCTTCTGGATGATGGCTTTCGTAGTTCTCCAGGTTTCCGCCCCATACAGTAGAACTGCGTTGACATTTGTATTGAAAATCCTGATCTTGGTGTTGATCCACCCTGTTCATCAATGATGCTGCCCAAATATGTAAAGGTTTTTACATCTTCCAAATCTTCTCTGTCAATTGTGATTGGATCGGTGCATGCTGTGTTGTATCGGAGAACCTTGCTTTTCCCTTTGTTTATATTGAGACCTACTGCTGCTGAGGCTGCTGCTACACTGTTCGTCTTCTCCTGCATTTGTTGTTGCGTTTGGGATAGAAGGGCATAACAATGGTCAATATTTCAATCAAAAGGTTATGATAAAAGGAAGTGCTAGGTTTGAAACCATCACAAGTTCACTTAATCTGAGAACGAGTTCAAAGACCCAGTGACCGAAAACCAGTAAGCTAGGTTTTTGATGCGTCCCAGCCCCGCCAGCTAGAGGGAGAAGTCCAAGCTTGGAATGGGAAGTATATTCTGCAAAACAGCCAGAAACGAGCGATAATAACAAGCACAATTCAAAACGTATATATACAGTACAAAACCATCCTTGGGGAGAGCTACCAGATAGCATACTGAAAGACGCAACAGACCAATAGCATTTAAGATATTTCCCAGTGGGAAATACGACATGAAGGTGACAAGAGCGTCTTTGGCGCGAAAACAAAGAAATTCAAATTTTCTAAATAAAATTACAGAATTAAGTAGTTTCACAAGTGAGTTCTGGGGATCTAACGTCGCCAACAGGAATATATATATATATTGATATAACAGCTGGTTTACCATATCTTACCTCTCTTACATGTATATTAAACTCCGCCTAGAGCCCCTCTGGGGCTACTGGGAACAACAGGCGTAAGTAAGTAAGTAAGTGAGTAAGTAAGTAACATGAATATTACGATAATACGTTTATAAGACTAAGTGCATTATATCAGAAACAGGATTCACGATCCAAAATAGAGAACCAGATTAATACTAGAGAATACTTTGTTCAATAAAATTACAAGCGATCACATACAATGGGTTCGGAGTAGAAATCAATAATAATAAGGAAAACCACATGTTTAATAGTTTGTAGTCTATGGCTGTTTGTCCACGCTCAATGACCAATCATATTTCACTTTTACTATCATATATCATATATATAATCTCAGAAGGGGTTTTGTGGGCATTATGGTAATCTCAATGGTTGAAATCATGAGTCAGTTGAAGCTAGACCACTATGGAAAACTTGGAGGCACTGGATGCCGTTTCGTCTTATTGTCGGACTCCTCAGCAGCGCGTACCCATTGTAAAATAGTTCTTAAAATTCTACCTTTACCATCTATTCGCTTATATATACAACGATTTCAATGGGCGACTGGATAATTGTTTATTTTTAGTATAAAACTTCTCAGTACTCATGAATACATTAAAGATTGGATACGTAATACTCGTATCTCACTTTTAGAATAATGAGTTAAAATCTAATACTACGGACAAGCGAAACAACTTATCTAATGTTATCCAATTTTATTTTAACGATTCATTAACTCTAACGAGTTCTTGATAAATAACTTGTGGCATTTTGCCCTATTAATATATAACGTAATGATACCACCAACTAGAGAACAGTGATTTATCGACTGGACCAATGGCGCGTAAATCCGTACGTGCAGTCTAGATTCCTTATCTGTCCTTCTACCCGTTAAGTTCAAAACATCAACCTCAGCCTCTGAGATATGAATCATGTATTTCGAAAATACTGGGTTTATATACAAACCAAACAGACCACATCGTACCATAAAATAGAAAATAACATTTGTACAAGATTTAGCCCAAAGTGGCTGTGAATGTGAGAGACTGTAATGATGAATAGACTGGGCATAACCTATGAATAGTAAATTGTATAATAATAGTCTACAGGTCAAAATAAAGCCTATAATAATAGGAACATGAATATACATATGAATTAGTTTAGAAATAGATTCCAACAGTTACCATTCATTATTCTCATCGAGATATAACACTTCTTCTATAAGAAAATATACGACGACAAACAAATAAAAGCAACCTATTTGTTTGAATAAAATAAACATTTACATCATTTTCTCACGAATGAATTATTGTGTTATGTCAATTGGACCCAAAATAAATGATTTCAATAAGCTAAATTTAAGACAAATAATTCCACTACTTAAATGTGAATTGATTTATTAATATAAATTATAGTTAAGAAAAAGATTTATTCCTTGGATGTTTTACACTATCTTTAACTCCCTCCCCTTTTTTCGCTCTTTCTTCTTTCCTTCTTTCCTTCCTTTTTTCTTTTTTCTTTCTTTCTTTCATGTAATTGACTTACTTCTTGTATATTCTTTGAAATCTCAATATTGTACAATGAAAATGTATACTTTCATTAAAAACAATCATTAATGAATTATGAATAAAAAGTAGGTATGATTGTAATCGAATTAACAGACAATTCATTTTGATTAAGAAATAAAACTAAATTATGGATAGCTTTCAGTTCATACTACTACTACTACTACTACTACTACTACTACTACTACTACTACTACTACTACTACTACTACTACTACTACTACTACTACTACTACTACTACTACTACTACTACTACTACTACTACTACTACTACTACTACTACTACTACTACTACTACTACTACTACTACTACTACTACTACTACTACTACTACTACTACTACTACTACTACTACTACTACTACTACTACTACTACTACTACTACTACTACTACTACTACTACTACTACTACTACTACTACTACTACTACTACTACTACTACTACTACTACTACTACTACTACTACTACTACTACTACTACTACTACTACTACTACTACTACTACTACTACTACTACTACTACTACTACTACTACTACTACTACTACTACTACTACTACTACTACTACTACTACTACTACTACTACTACTACTACTACTACTACTACTACTACTACTACTACTACTACTACTACTACTACTACTACTACTACTACTACTACTACTACTACTACTACTACTACTACTACTACTACTACTACTACTACTACTACTACTACTACTACTACTACTACTACTACTACTACTACTACTACTACTACTACTACTACTACTACTACTACTACTACTACTACTACTACTACTACTACTACTACTACTACTACTACTACTACTACTACTACTACTACTACTACTACTGTGGTGTGTGCTACTTATACTGATACAAGTAGTATATGATGTTAGTCGTGAACGGAAGGTCTGGCAGATGAGAGACTAGAGGATCGAACAGTAAAGAATGGAAACATGATGCAATTTGTATGAAAATACAAGAACAATAATGTTTGAGTCATTTTGAGACAATCGATGGACATTTTGCAAATAAAGCATTTACTTTATGATTGTTAGATTTTATTAACAAGTCCTGTAATTTTGTATTAGGTACATTCGGTTGTCCTCACCCATGTTCTATTCACTACACTACTAATATTACTACTAGTAGTACGCCGTCTACTAATATCACTCACATTACTACTAATTTTATAACACTTTACAACTGTTACCCATCAGTGGCTAATGATTTTTTATTAAACTCATAAATACTTCTATTTATTCACTCTGTTTTTGAAATACTTTAAAATGACTTAATTCACTACTTATTTTTCAATCAAATGAATAAATTATCATTACTATATTAACATAGAAACTATAGAAACTTTTTTCATGAAATCAGTAAACAAAGTTAATTGTTGAATATTATGTTGGGTGTATGTGTATTTTTGACGAACCAGATACATAAATTCACAAGAATAAAATTCTTTTAATCAATATTCAATAGAGCAAAAATGAATGGAATGTAAATAGTTCTTTGAATATAGGCTATGATTGTTTAAAAGCAATCACAACAGCGGTTAAAATCCCTCTTTCCTTCACTCTCTTTGTTATATATGAAGATGGTCAATGCGATTCCTGGTGGTAGTTTGGGTACGTTCTAATATGAAGTCGAATACGGAGACGTTGCAGACGTCTAAGGCTTCAGAGCCTTAATTTTATTTTATGTGAAATCAACCTATGATGAGTATGAACCCCAAATAATAATCAAATTAAATTATAATAGCTTATGACGTTGGTAGATAAAATAGTTGAGGTCTCATTTCAGTCTATATACCTGAAGTGTCTAGATAAAGTTCACTGAAAGAAACTAATATAAACAAGAAAATTATTTAAGGTTGCTGGAATATAATTGGATAATAACAAAATACAATATTGAAGAGTTCGTTTTATACTAGAATATTATCTGAATGACTAAATTGTGAAGCTGTATATACGTGATGTTAAATTAATCTAAAGTCGTTTTACGTATATTCATTTCTCTTCAAAGTATACTGAGGATTTTGTGGGTCTTAGGATAATTCCTAAAGTTCATTTTCTTACAATCAAAATGAGTATCGTCACAATAAACTTAGTTGGTCAGAACAATCCAAATTTGAATCCAGTCGTAGGGAGCTCCTGATTTTAGTACAAATTAAGGTTGCAGATTATTATACACACACATTAACCGATCACCGTGTACTGACCAACGTTCAATTTGTCTCATCTTTAGTTCAAATCGAATCTTATAGATCAAATTTCACCAAAGCAACTCGTTCAAGTAATTCAACATCATCAAGTTTTGATATGTTAGTTTAAGGCAAACGATAGGAAATCTTACTTGATTTAGGTTTCACGATATTTGTCAATTATCAACAAGGCGTGCCTACATTCATGTGTTAGGATATTCAGTAAATATCCCAGAAATTATCCTATTAAGTCTAATGCTATTCTTGGACTTGGACATGGTATGATTTTCTAATTGGTCAGTACTTATTTCACGTGTTATTTTCCTACTGGTCAATATTGTACAATGTTATTTTCTATTTTATGGTACGTTGTGGTCTGATTGACTGGTATATAAACAAAGTATGTTTGAAATATAATGATTCATATATCCGAGGCTGAGACTTGCGTTCTGGACCCAACTGCTGGGCTAGATAGAGAAGCGGGGCCAATCAGAACCCTAGGTCGTTCTACGTGTTTGCGCGTCTTTGGTTCGATCGATAATTCGTACCCTCAAATCTGCCGTGTCACAGTTATAACATTATGAGAGAGCTGATGTCTACTATTTCAATTATTTCCTTGAAACCACTCAATATAATATTTATTAAAATGTATACATGAAACTACTTTAAACGTATTAAGTCATTTATTTTTCAATAATACTATTCATCACAAGAGGTTTCAGTATGGATTGTACATATGGTATCAGAGAAACTATATATCTCATCCCCAATACATATTAATATATTGGCAACTGTTTTGACATACATGGTTATTAATTGATAATTGGTGGATTAATTGTTCATGAATATAAAATTAAACAAATAACCTCTTTGAATTTACGTTCCATTACATCGCATTTCTAAAAATACAGCGCTGTCAAAGGATGGACATACACGACCTGCTAAGCGCGTAATATAATTGAACTAATGACTAAGAAGCTTTGATTATTATAGTATACATATATCATAGATATATACTGTAATTTGTCTTATCCATATAAGGGCATGAAAACTGAGATGTTGAGTAGGCACAGGATTGATTTCAACCAGTTGGAAGCAATTACTAGAAAACTTATCAGTGGAGGTGTTGTGAAAATTATTAAGCTTTTGATTGAGATCATGAACCAATTGATGCTGATTGATGCACACTTCTGAGGAGTCCCATAATAAGACGAGACGGTCGTCCAATGTTTCCAGGTTTTCAATGGTGGTCTAACAGCAATCGAATCTTAATCTCAATTAAAATACTAGAAAACTTGTTCGACGAACATTCGGTCGCATCTTAAGCTTAGAACCAGGATCTTTTACTGCCACTATTATTAAGTTATCCTTGTAGCATTTACATATCTAACATTAGAAAAATGAACTGCAATGTTATGTCACGGACTAGTGGGTACATTAGTATTAGATCGATATAGAATTCGATTAGCACTTGTGATTATATATATATATATATATATATATATATATATATATATATATATATATATATATATATATATCATTGATAGTATCGCATAACTAACAATCATTCATTTTCCCTACATCTCTTCACAGATATATCGGTTATTCGCATTTATGATGATTTCAGGTTAAAAAAAGATTGTTTATCCTTATAGATGACTGTTTATCAGTAAAATCAAAGATTGATTGAATAAATAAAACATGATTCCCTTTTTTTTCTCTAGTAATTATTCTCTCTTCAAGTAAATTATATATTTTTCTCTAGACAAAATACAAATCAAAATAGATCCCCTCTCTTGATTCATGTAATGTATTTCATCGTGATTAATTATGTAATATATTCAATGTATATAACTTTAAGTTAACTGGTAGTTAGTAGTCATGATAACTGAAGTGGAATAAAAACCTACCATGGATCGATATTTTTTTCTGAAAGACTTCTGTAAAAGTTCTTTCTGTCATCGACCATGGTATCTGTGGTAAAATACAATGTAGTTTTAAAGATATTGTAAACTGAGTGTTATTATTTGGTTTATAAAATTCATAAGAAAAGCGAAAACGGTATATTATTATTATTATTATTATTATTATTATTATTATTATTATTATTATTATTATTATTATTATTAAAGTTGAACTATTTCACATTTGTTGGGATATATGCTTCCTCTGTATGGATTGACTCAATATAGACAACGAGATCCTTATTAATAATTAAATTAACATAATAATCATTGAACAAGTCGATGAATAACTCAGTTAATTAATTCCAAGGATAATGAGTTAGGGTTTGAAGTGAACTGGGATATAGCTGACATATGAAGGTGATAATTTCAAAATAGAACAAAGTACAGGGATTAGTTCTCATTATAAGCTCTTATTCATTTGATGTAAAACACAATACCATTGATGATAGATTTACACAAGAAATATAACATGAATTTCTGTTGAGTCGAGTTAACTTCTAATTAAAGCATCAGATTATAATTCAAGGTATTCGCTTTTTCTATGAACCTTATCAAAGGAAGTGTATAATAATTTTTTTGTTTAACTACCCTATTGTATAAAATTCGACTAAATTCGTGGATTGGTTGAAGTTAGACATTAACACCGTTGGATGCAGGCTCAATGGTCTAGTGGTTAAGTGCTCGCGCGCGAAGCCAGTAGGTCCTGGGTCCGAGCCCCGCGTGGTGCGGGATCGTGGATGCGCACTGCTGAGAAGTCCCATACTAGGATGAAACGGCCGTCCAGTGCTTCCAGGTTTTCAATGGTGGTCTAGCTTCAACTGACTCATGATTTCAATCTGTGTAATAAAATAATATTGAAGATAATTTGGTTACAATTTAAATAAGTTCAATATTTGACCAGACAATCTGATCTGATGGGGATTTATGGAGATTGTAATAATCTTTAATAGTTGAATTCATCAATAGATCTAAGCTAGACCATCATCGAAAAACTGGAAGCACTGGAAGGCTGTTGCGTTCTACTATAGGACTTCATCAGTATGGATTTACGATCCCACAGGTGAGACACGAACTCAGGACCTTCAGTCTCACGCACGAACGCTTAACATATAGACCACTGAGCCGGCATCTGACGGTGTTAATGTGTAATTTTAATCTATCCATGATCTTGCACAACTCTTCATCCATTGTCTGAGGTGAATAACTGTCTCTATCCAACATGGATCGTACCATACTGGTCAAGGCTTCTCGTTAGAATTTTAAGAAATCTAATATTGAAGCTAATCACTAGTGACTAGTCACAAAATGAAAACTTTCAAACACCCAGAAAACGTAAGTCTGTACCAAACATTTATCTTGTTTTATTTAAATGTTGTATACAATAAAGAAATGAGTCACTCTGCTTGAAGTGCTCTTCAAAAAGAACCTCAACTTCCATTGAAAACTAAATACTTAAAATTTATTAGTCAGGTTCGAGATATGCCAATCACACTATGAAATTTTAAATTGTATAATATTTTACTTTATTTGGACGGTATTCAGTACATAGAATCGTGAGATTTGTAACTATTGAATTAGTGATTAGTGACAGATTATTATTCCTTAACAGCTTTGGACTGAATTAAACGTGTTATAAATTGAATTACTTTTCTTGAATAGAATTTTATGTTATAAGATGAAATAAATATAATTCTAGTCATAGACCAAAAAT